CTGCAGGTGACGCTGCCAGCGGGCAGCGAGCACAGCACAGGCGAAGTGGTCTGCGTTGCGACCTGTCCCTCAACGCGCGTTCAACTTGAGGACTCTGCCGAATGCGTGTGCCCCGATCAGACCTATGCCATTGCAGGCTCGCTTGACTGTGCTGCCTGTAGCCCAACATGTGCAGGCGCCTGCACTGGCCCCGGTTCTACTCAATGCCAGGCCTGTCTGCACGCCCAACATGAAGCGAGCTGTGTCTCGACTTGCCCTTCCCGTACATTTGCATCTCAGGATTTGGCTGCCTTTGCCTTGGCTTATCCCGATGCCACGGTGAAAGCAACGACTGTGTGCTTGCCATGCAGCGATGCCTGTGCCGAATCATGTTCGGGCCCCTCGGCCGCCGACTGCACCGGCGATGACAGCTGTGTGGGTCTATCTGAGCAGGGCCAGTGTGTGGAAGCGTGCAGCTCGGGATTTTTCGACAACAACGCCGGGCAGTGTATGCCCTGCGCTGCCAATTGCACGCTCTGCACAGGCCCCGAGGCGGGTGACTGCCTACGCTGCGCAGAGTGGCGGCAAGGTGAGGCCTGCGTGGCCGCATGCGCAGACAACTATTTCGGCGCCAGCAACGGCGAATGCCGGCCTTGTCACACTGAGTGCGCCGCGGGCTGCCAAGGACCCTCCAATCTAGATTGCCTGCCAGCCGAGGAACCTGACTGCGTGCATGTGCGCTTGGGCGGCGCCTGCGTGGCTGATTGCCCTGCGGGCCTGCAGCAGCTCGCCTCGGGGGAATGCGTAGAATGCCACGAGCTTTGCGGGGCTGCCGGTTGCTCCGGCTCGGGCCTAGCTGATTGTCTTGACTGTGCTGTGGCTGCCTACAATGGCACCTGTGTGGCTTCATGCCCTGCCACCACATTCGCCGATGCCGCGACGAGTACTTGCCAGCCCTGTGCAACGGCGTGTGTAGCAGGCTGCAGCGGCCCAGCTGAGACCGACTGCGACGCAGCCGACTGCCACGACGTCACCTGTCCTGACGGCCAGGTCACCAGCGCCAATTGCGTGTGCGAGCCTGTCACGTGCAGTGCCCCCTTGTCCTACCTCATGGGCAGTTCCTGTGTGCATGCGTGCCCTGCGGGGCACTTTGCGGATGAGACCGCCGTTTGCCGACCATGCAGCGTTGCGGGCTGTACATCCTGCCCGGGGGACGTGTGTACCGTCTGCAATATGAATCAGCCGTGCGCCACGGGCCAGTTCTTGGATGTGTCGCAATGTCGCTGCACTTTGTGCAACGAGGCTTGTGCCACTTGTTCGGGCCCGGCAGCAGAGACGTGTGACACGTGTGCCGTGGCCGAGTACGAAGGCACTTGTGTTTCGAGCTGCCCCGCCGGTACTTACTTGGAGGCCCAAGCCCAGCTGTGCCTGGCGTGTGATGAGCAGTGTCTCAATGGGTGCACTGGGGCAGGTCCGACACAGTGCACGGCTTGTCTTCATGCACGCCTTGGTCATACGTGCGTGGCTGCTTGTCCAATTGCCACCTTCTTGGATGCCAGTAGTCAGACTTGCGTCGAGTGCGATGCTGAGTGCCTAGACGCATGCAGCGGTGCCGGTCCGTCGGCGTGTACCTCGTGCGCCAATTTCAAGCTGGGAGCAACGTGCGTGGCGGCGTGCCCAGACAACACGTTTGTGTCGGCCGATGACACATGCTCACCTTGTGCAACCGCGTGCACATCGGGTTGCCACGGCCCTCTGCCAACGGATTGCAATCGAGATGCACCCACTGACGCCCCCGCCTCTTCTGCAGCTGCCCCTTTAACATCCCAGCCCACGGCAGGTCAGATGCAGACAGTTGATTATGGTGATGATGATGATGGCGATGCCCCTTCGTCGACTGGGCAGGGTGCCCAAGATGAGAGCGACGGTGACCATTCGTCGACCCCATCGCTTGCGGCTGCGCCGCTAGAGCTTGTTTTTGGAGCGTTGGCCCTGTTGGCTCTTGTCGTCATCGTGATCGTGATCATCCGCCGCGTGGTACGTTTGTCTTCCTTCTCGGTGCTCCAGTGTGTACGGCACTTTCGTTCGCTGTCTGGGTTGTGTGCTGACTCTCCCGTTTGTTGCCGTGTGTACAGCGAACATCGCGCGTGCGCTATCATAGCATACAACACCACTATTCGCTGGAAGACTCGGATTCGGACCAAGACAGCGACGGCGAGGATTTGGTTTTCATGGCTGGCAACTAAGATGCTCATCCTGAACAAGCCACGAGCATGTTTCACGCGACTCTTTTTTGTTTTGTTTTTCTGTTTTGTTTTGTTTTTTGGCTTTTTTTTCCGTTGTTACTTTTTTGTCTGACATTCCAGACTGTCAAGACTCGAGTCGTCATGCTGTTGTGACATGACACTGGTAAAATCGTTCAACCTTAAATATGTGAGTGAATAATAAGATCTTCGAGGCTGCAGAGCGACATGAGCATTCTCGTGCTTTGCGTTCGGCTGTTTTCGTGGTTACTGCCATGTCTTGTCATGAATGCAAAACTATGTCGGCTTTGAAAATCGTTGGTCAATGGACTTGAGAAAAAGGTTGAGGATAGGTACGGCTCTCAGAGCAAAGCAGGCTAGCGGGAAAAGCCATGCCCAGACAAGACAAGGCATTTCCTCTTGGCCCAATCATTCTTTACTTTACTGGTCAATGGCTCGATGGCCACGGCGTCAAAGCGAGCAGGCGATAGTGATCGTGGAGTCCGCTGGGATCCAGAGTCAACAAGACTGGTTGCCGGTGGGAGTTGACAACAACAGCCGCCACGGTTTCACCGACCAAGCGATCTAAACGCGAGACACCCACAGGAGCTGGATAGATGCCAGCACACGGGTGAGCATGCCAAGATAATAGGCAGTGCCGTTAGCGGTGGCATGGCAAAAGACAAGTGAAAACTCAAGCACCCAGGGACAAGACAAGACGGCAGGCAGCCTGACTGACTGACGGACTGACTGACTGACTGACTGACTGACAAAGTGTGATGGGCATGGTTAAAAGCAAGGGGATGATCAAGCGGCAAGAGGCATTGGATGCCATGAACATACGGGTAATGATTCCTTCTATGGCCTCGGGGTTGGCGCCTTGTCCGTCTGAACCGCTGGCCATGCGGCATGGTGAAAGGGTCCCGTTGAGATTGATCAGACCTATTTGGGATCAAAATGGGCCGCGGCAACGCCAGTTGCAAAGGGGTACATTAGGTCTACACGGCACAGGCCAGAAAAGGCCAGAACGAAGCTCGCCTAGCTTGACCATACACGAATGGACGCCTTTCTCACCTAAAATGCGAACGTGAAGCCCTTGAGAAGAGACATCGTAGGCCATGGCCCGAACTGCATACGTCGGCTGGAGATCCACGACGGGCCCATCCTTGGGCACTGTGCTCTCTTCCCGCAGAAAGCTGCGGAGCGGTCGAGGTCCGCTCAGACGATTGGTAGGGCGGCCTGCATACATGATTTGGCACAGCGCACGTAAGACATGCGGTCATGCCCGAAGGGTTGGAATAAATCACCCTCCTTTTGCTTTTCCCCGTATACCTGTGGCAGTCGTCCCCACGACTTGACGGTGTGTGTGAAGCGCCTCCAGCAGCTCAGGAGCGGCCACCAAAGTGGCTGCCAGTCTAAAAAAACGAGCCACCAAGAACCTCGGTTAAGATCCAAAATCGAAGCGACCAACCAGTCAGTCAGCCCCCCGAAAACAGCTAGATGGAACCAATTCTCATCCGGTCCCATCTTTGGGTCCTGTGCCGGACCCGCACAGGCCTCAGTCGCACGACGTCTCCCACCCGCAGACCGGCACCGTGCTGACATTTGATCTGCTGCCATGATTAGCTAAAAATGCTGACATTCAGCCGTCAGACAACTGCCAACTGAACTAGCGGACTGAGAACAGTAGTTGTGTATAGTTGTTGTAGCATGTGAGATTTGAACCCTCGTGGAACTGATGTCGACTTGCCTGAACCGGCGAGCGCACTTTTTCCCGCTTGACCAGAGACGACACAAGTGCGTAGCGCGCTTGTGGAAGACTTGAGGACGGTCACCTGTGCACCCTCACTCGCTTCTCTTTTCTTTCGCCAGCTTCTCTTCTCTCCCAACCTTCAAAATGGCTGATGAGCAGGTTGCTACCCCCGTCGAGGCCGAGACCGCCCCCGCCCCGTAAGTTGTTGAGCTTCGCGGCTTGTCCTGGCCATCATTGGTGTCTTGTGCGTCCGAATGATCCATTGAGCGCGGATGAGCAGCAGGGCAACTTTCCTGCTTGTTTTGTGGGCCACTTGTCGCGGCGCAATCTGAAGTTGATCTGGTTCTCCCAGCACTTCTAGCGCCACTGTCAGGGCCGTGTGTGTTTTTTCCCCTCAACCTAATTTCACAGTTCCAGCCAGAGCTCACGTGGGGTCCGGTGTGCTTTATGCCAATAGCGTCTCCAACGCCCGCATGACTGTCGAGGAGGCCCTCCCCGAGGTCCTGAAGCAGGCCATGTACGTCGATGGTCTTGCCCGTGGCCTCCACGAGGTTGCCAAGGTCCTCAGCAAGTAAGTCTTGATTATCTTCTCCCCGTTTTCATCTTGGCTTTGTCATCAAGGCTCTTCTCGACTAGCCATCGACCCCACCTTCGCTCACCATGTCTGCCTCGGCAACTCTCTCTTTCTTCTGTCTTGCTGCGGCTCTTTGACGCGTGTTAGGGGCAGCGCGCACCTGTGCGTTCTGGCCACCAACTGCGACGAGCCCAACATCATCAAGCTGATTGAGGCTCTGTGCGCTGAGCAGAAGATCAGCCTCCTGAAGGTTGATGACAAGATGAAGCTCGGTCAGTGGGCTGGTCTGTGCAAGCTCGACCAGGATGGCAACCCCCGCAAGGTTGTCAAGTGCAGCTGCGTCGCCGTCACCGTAAGTCGATTCCATTCTGAGCTTGATCTTTGTACTTGCTGACCTCAATGGGGGCAGCTGGTCGAGGTTGTGTGTGTGTGTTGCGCGCGATGAACGTGAGCCCCCTCTACTGAACGTCACTTTGACGAGAACGCTCTTCCGGAATCTTTTTTTGTCTGATGCACACAAACACGCAACCCGATCTGATCTGTCTGGCTGGCTCATTGCGTGTTACTTGAGACCATCGTCGCTGCTCGCCTCATCCCTGTTTGCTTTGGTTGCTTTGCAATGCAGAACTACGGTGTTGCTGGCCAGGCTGTCGAGGTCATCAACGACCACTTCAAGGGCAAGTAAACGGGCCTCCGCATTTTCTTCTTTCTTCTTTCCGAATAGAAGTGAATGATGGACAACGTCGTCCAAAGGCACACCTTTCACCTCCACTCCACACCATACATATACTGCCCAAATTCAGATAAGCCAGCCCAAATCAAGAATAAAATAAAGAATCAGATGTCAAATTACATGAAACCCCTTTAGCGCCTGTCTGCTAGGAATGATGAAATGATGGTAGTGGAGGCAAGTGATTACGGCTAATGTTGATGTGGAAGACTCCCAACCAGTTGGCACAACGTGGGAACACATGTGGTGCTAAACAAAACAGAGGACTTGCTCAGTCGGTACTGGATTGATTGTGAGAAAAGAAGAAAGGAACCCGAATGGGCAACGTTGAAGACGAAAGGGAAGGGGAAAAGGTATACATTGCCAAGACTCCCAAAAAGAGGCACTAGCAAAGGCAAGGAGAACAGGTTGGGATGAAAAGAGACGTGGCGGCCTGCCGCTCTAGCTGTACTGCTTCTCCTGGATGGCATCCAGGAGCGAGGTATCGTCGCTCTTGGTAACGAGAGCCTTGCCGATGAAGAACGTGGAGGCCAGCGCCAGACCGGTAATCGAGCCCAGGGCCGCGGCGCGCGGGCCAGCTGCAGCGGCCGAACATTGGTTTGCCATCCAACCAGAGATCGGAGCGGCAAAGAAAATAACAAGCAACTTAGTTGGTGCCGCATACCAGCCGCTTTGAAATGATGGTTCAGCGGGGTGGCGCGAAACTTACAGGCACTGCGGTAAAGACCACCCGCAACGGTAGCGGCCGCAATGTGGTCAAGCGCGTGTGGCTTGTCAGTCTGTCGGACCTTGCAAATACCATAGTTGGCCACGTTGTACATCAAGACTGCAGACACAAATACGCACACGAGCAAGTACGCCAGCCAGGACAAAGGTCAGACAGATACTTTTGCTTTGAGGTCCTACCCTCCCGCCGGTAATCTTGTGAAAAATGTAAGCGTGCCAGCCGCCAGCCGCTATCCAAAGGCCGTACCAATTACGCCGAGGGTGTTGCCCAAGAAGGGACCACGTTTCTGGGCGGCATTGAGCACCGTGTTGATTTTCAGCTTGGTAGTGACGGCGTTGGGGTGACGCAGACCCTCAACCACACCATAGCCGGCACCGATCAAGGAGCCTGGATGGTACAGACACCAGCGTGCTGTGAGGGATTGGCGGTCACAAACAAGAGCCATCTGCCCTTGCAGTCGGGTCAAGCAGGCTGAGAAGGAGGCGAATCTCGCACCGGCAATGTAGGAGGCACCAGTGGTATATGAGGCCTTTTCCGAAAAGGAGCGACCCTTGTCCTCGGCCTTGGGGAAGAGAAACTCGGAATCATTGCCCTGCTGTAAAAACGGCATGTCAAAGTCCGACGGGGCGGTATGAGACTGGCCGGGTAAGCGGCAGCCCGAAAAGCAGCACCCTGTGGGAAGTATGCATGCGGGCCAGCTGATCGGCCCCGCCATGGGGTGCTGAGCACCAGACTATCATTGAGCGCACCTGCAAGACGTTGGGGTTGACAGTCAAGTAGGGGTTCTGAAATTGGTTGCCTGCTGGAGAGTTGAAGGATGCACAACGCGCATGGTCAGTGCATGTGCATGCTTGAGCCAGAGCACCGGCAAAGAGAACGCCCGCCTCGAGCGTTATTGGCACTTGTGTAGCTGAACAGGCAAAGGGCCTCCCACTCCATCTTCGAAGGGTGCGGCCGAATGGCAAACATACTGGGCATCATAAAGCCTCCTGAGCCGCCCGGGGCCGACAGAACGTTTTGGTAAGGGGCAGCGCCCATATCCACTTGTCCATAGCCACCGGTCAAGCCGCTGAGATCGCGGGCATTGTCGTCGTCACGTTGGGCCATGGTGTCGGCCTTCTTCGAATGTGAATGCGGAGGACGCTAAGCGACAAACGCAATTGCACCACCGTGCGTGCCCAGTCTGAGAAGGCGAAAGAGCCTAAGAGAACACACGAAACGCCTACGCAAACCCCCAAGTACAACAGCAAGCACCAGCCGCAGAACGTCAACGAGGTGAGTGTGCACACTGCTCATGCGTTGACCATCGCTGGCGCTCGTCGCTCGCACGCCTTGCGGACGAAGCTGTCTCTTCGTGCTGCGCAGAACACGAGGCAAGGGACCAGATGTCCCAGCAAGCGAAAAGGACGCTTCCATCCCTCGCTCCTCCCCCAAAACACACACACACACACGCACACACCTTGGCGTTGCCTTACTGTTCCTCTGCGCAGAACCGTGTTGGTCACCGAGTCAAGGTCAAGGAGTCGGCTGCGCTGTGAACGAGAGTGCGCGTGTGACACAACCTCTAACTAATGCCACACTTTGCGACGTATCTCCTCTCTCTGTCTCTCTCTCCTTTCTCTCTGTCTCTCTGTCTCTCTGTCTCTTTCTCTCTGTCTCTTTCTCTCTCTCTCTCTCTCTCTCTCTCTCTCTCTCTCTCTCTCTCTCTCTCTCTCTCTCTTTCTTTCTTTCTTTCTCTCTCTCTTTTGTGGGATGTTGCAGGTGATTGCGCCTGAGAAGAAGAAGAAGGAAGAACACGTGTTTGGCCTTCTGTTTCCCCCCCGTTCGTTTTCGTTTACGGCGACTGGTTTCATTTGGTAGCTGCTAAAATGTCAGATTTGACGGCGGATAAAAGTATCTGACAATTGAACAACGCGCCCACGAGCAGGAAAGCGCGACGACGACGGCTGTAAGGGCTGTGGGGGCTGTGAGGGCTGGCCACGTCGCTTCAACGGGCTCACGCATCTTCCTATCAAGCAACGCCATCATGGCCACAAAGGATACTGCCTCGGCAGACCCCACGGCTGCTGCCGCAAGTCCTGAACCCACAGCACCGAGCTCCACACAGCAACGGTTAGACCCCACTCTCTCACCAGCCCTGGCTGCTCGTTCGACGCCCCACCTCAAGCAAGCTCGATGCTCATCCACTCTGCAATTTGCAGCAAAGCGCGCTTTCGTCTAGATGCCTGCAAGCGATGCCGCGAAGCTACTCCTCACGTTCTGCTTCAAAAGGATCTTCCATACTGCCGGTAAGGCCCAAAGCACGAGAGACTTGGGGATGGCGACACACAGCAACACCCCCGTGCCCGTCCCCTCACATACGGTCGTGCCGGCAGCGATTGTTGCATCTACAACGTACACCGAAAGTCGCGTTCCGAACTGGGCAAGAATCGCATGATCCGGCAGTTTGAAAGGGTTTGTCACCCGACCCCTGCCCGCCTCCTCTTTGTACGCCGAGGCCGCACGTGTTGACATGGCCTCCCCTTGCCTCTCCCACCTTGGTCCAGATTGCGCTTGCCTTCTCCGGTGGCAATCGGTCAACTGCCCTACTGGGCATCATCCGTCGAGTAAGACTTTGAACATTGGCAGCTCGCCGCCCGACCCTTGGCTCCGCATTTGGATGTTTGCTCTTATTCACGTGCTCCGCTCCGCCCGGGGGTCGTTAGCACATGACCAAGGGCGAACACCGCCAGCTACGAATCGTACCCACCGTCATCCACATTGATGGTGCGTAGTCTGACATTGCTGCACCCGTGCCTCTACCTACATCTGCCAGTCCTGCCGGCTTTTGGCTCTCGCCTCGCGCTGCCCGAATGAGCCCGCTCACCACGAGCGTATCCAGATGGGTGCCTCTTTGGCGCCACTCAGGCCGAGCACGAGCGCCGGGCAGAGCGCATCCAATCATTGGCCAATGCATTGGACTACGAGGTCTGCATACCGCCACGCAATGGACCTTTGGCCCGGTTGGCTCGGGCGATCTCACCTGGTATTACCGCGCTGGGTTAGGAGGTACACGTGCTACGCCTCGAGGAGCTTTATCGTGCAGATGACGAGCCCGACCTGACGGCTGCCGCAGCCCGGGTCTGTGCGCTTTTTGCCGATCTTTCCACTGTTACGGCCCGCCAAGACTTTTTACGTACAATGAAGTACGTCTTGCCTCTGCGCGAGGCATGGGAGGACACAGAGTGAATGTCACACATCTCATTACATCTTCTCTCGCCTCGTCTCGTCTTTTCTGTGTGCTCATCGTGATCCGCAGGGCACGGCTCTTGCGGGCTGCCACGCAACAGTTGGATTGTCACAAGGTTTGCCCCGCCACACCCCCATCTTTCCCCTTCTCTGATGTTTGGGGCACCGCCTTTGACGGCTCTTTTGCGTTTGACAGCTGATGGTGGGTGATTGCCACGACCAAATTGCCATGCGCATCCTGGTCCAGACCACGCAAGGACGCGGGGGTAACATGACCCGCTTCTCGGTGAGCGCAGATCGCCAGCTACGGCCCTTGCAGGGAACGCTATACCGCTGGCGGCGGCGCAGCTGAATTTTGCTCAATGACATGTAGACGTTCTGTGATGAAGTGGATGGCACGGCCATGCTGCGCCCGCTGCGCGCCATTTCGGCGCGCGAACTCGGCTACTACAACCATTTTCGTCGCCTGGAACCCGTGCTGTACCCCACCGTGGGCGCACGCGTACGTTGACACTGGGTTGGGTCATACCAGCGTTTTGCAGGCCCATTTAATCATCAACCCAACCATGCATAGGCGCCGGAGAAGACGAGCTTTGAGTCTTTGATTCAAGCCTTTGTGGCTAACCTGACGGTGTGCAACCTTGGTCCCGCTCGCTTACCCGCTAACAGTCTCCTTCCTGGTCAGGTCTTGTTTGGGACGTGTAACATCAATTTTCTGTCAACGACCCCGTAGGTGGACTTTCCTTCAACCACTGCAGCCATCTATCGCACGTCGGAAAAGATTGCGGCCATCGACCGGCCCGATGCCCCTGATTGTCGCCTTTGCGGGGTTGGTTTCCTTTGCCAACCTGTGTTCCGCGTGAAAGCACCGGCTTTGCCATCTTGCTCATGTACCTGCCACGCTTGCTCCATCAGTTACCCACGGACCCTGCCACAACAAGCATCGCGCAAATCACGGCCAAGGATGGCCACTTGAATATTCGAGATCGTCTGACCGTAGACGGGCAAGATCTTACAGATTGTCTGTGTCAAGGCTGCCGTGGCACCCTGCTTGACGCCTCGCAGCAGACCGTTGGCCTTCCACCAACACTGGTGCGTCAGTCCAATGGCAGTGCGAAACAGTCTTAAATGCATGTCGCCCGCATCGCCCTGCACCTACATTCCAGCAGGCCTGAGCTTACCCTTTGACTGCATTGTTTGTGCTCCATCCGTACCCTTGGCCCTCTCGCTACCCCGTGACACTCCATCCATCCTTGGTGCAGCGCGCCAACACGGTAGCACCACCACAGAGTGCGTCCCCGCCCTCAACCCCCTAGGTTAAAGTTAAAGACTTGCCATCTTGCAAACGTATCAGGGACGCCTAGTTGATGAGGGACTTCGAGCCAAACGTTGAACAATTCATGTCGACCAAAAGCGTTTCGCGATATCAAAAAAATAGTGGGGGAAGTTCGTACGGGAGAGGAGGGGCTTGGAGATCATGCAAGCTATTGCTGGGCATTTGGCGCCGAAAAAAAATTGTCAGCAGAGTGCATTTTCGTTTGTGACGGCGAGGCGCCAAGTGACCAGGACCGATGATGCTGAACTGTCGCGACGATGACCCCTGGTCGTAAGGCTGTCGTTACTGATTATGATCTGCTGGTCACCTTGAGCGTGTAGCTCTTGCTGATCAGGCATCACCGTCGCCACTGCCATTATCATGGCGGGTAAGCTGCCCTCTGAGGTGCACTACTACGCGAGCGTGATCAACTGCCCCGCTTACGCCAACAACGCAGCCTACAAGGCCGTGTTGGCTCCCGTCGTTGGAACCGCTGCCTCGTTGCTGCCAGCTTTCCAGAGCCCTGTTCCCCGGGTACGTGCACCTGTGGCAAAGCGGAGGAGGCGCAAAGCCGCGGTCGCAGGCTGAGCTCACGACATTGCCTTGCTCTCAACCCACGCAGGGCGAGGACTACCGCTCACTACGTCTGCAACAAGATCAACAACTCTCTCTGCAGCTGAGTCAGTAGTTCGCTCTGGCAGCACGGCGTCCTCACTGCATTGCCTAGTCAACTCTCCGTCACTTCACTGCACGGCCAGCCCTCATCACCCTTGCCTCACTCCGGCCCAACTTTTCATGCACGTGGCCGCCGCTTGGTGCACATAGCCAAATCAGGGGTATCTCACCAACGAGCAGGGGACCATGACAAGGCGCTATCTTTGTATCATCGGGCGCTACAACTATCCGAGCACAACGTGGAGGCGCTTGTGGCCAAGGGCACGCTCCACACCATTCTGTAGGCCGCATTGTCTGGTGGTCCCCCTGCCCGTTTCCCGTCCCCTCGTGTGGTCGCTCTGATGCTACGCGCACGCTACCATGTCACGGAGACCTGGCATGCGAGGTTGTGTGCAACTGATAGTTGAAATGGGTCATAGGCAACAGTATGATCGAGCTGTCGACTGCCTCAAGACGGCGCTGCGTCTGCAGCCGGAACATGTGAACGGCCGCCGCTATCTAGAAACGACTTACTTTCGTCGGGGCAAATATCTCGAGGACTGTGGCAAATATGTCGACGCCGCTGAGGACTATTCAGCAGCCCTTGAGTTACATGGCCCTGAGGAAGCCAAGGCCCAACAAATGCTCCAATCTGTTCATGTAAGCAAGGGGGGTCGCTCCTCGCCCTCAGCCCGCACGCTAGATGTGCTTTTACCACGACAGGATTGTTGACTTTTGTTGGTGGTGGTTTCCCTACAGAACTACCTTGTCAAGCGAGCTGCACAGTCTGAGGCAGCTGATACGGCTGCGCGAGCCTCATTTGGCAAGCTATCTCCGTCAACTGCCAGGTTGGTCAGCGCCCAAAGACGACCGGGTTCGCTAGTAGGGGGAAAAGCGAAATCAAAAGGGAATTGGCACCCCAAGCAAAACAATCACACGTCTGTGCAACTCACAGCCACGGTACTACGGGTCGCTCGTCCTCCGAGCTCCTCAGCGTCATGCACAAGATGCTGGAGGTACGTGACAGGAGGTCGTGTGCAATAAATGGGTGTCAACTCAAGCCGTGTCTCTTCCTTTCCCCCAGCCACTTTGCTTGCTTTGCCCACTGTGCCTGGTGAACTGACCTGTTGGCCTCTGTGCCCCTGGCTGGTGTGCATTTGTATGTTATCTGATTATATTAGGAGGATCGTGATGAACGCCGCAGGCACAAAAAGCACAAAAAGTTAAAGAAGAAGCATAAAAGTTCGGGACGCAGTGACCGAGGTGATCGATCGCCAAAGCGAAGTCGCCATCGTGGCGGCAGTAGCGATGAATCGTCCGATGCTGAGGGCGAGTCGCGGTGACAACTCCTTTGCTGCGTGCTGCCGGCAAATTTGATTTCGAAGGACCAGCATGTAGTCTGCCCGACTGCTTCGTGCCGATCAATCCAGCAGATTTGACTCACCAACTCGACAATATAATGCACAAAGGCACACTCAGGGGAGCAAGAACGAGTCCCGATGAACAGGCATGCAAAACGCTGTTTTGTTTCGTTTTATTTTTTTGTGATGAGAGTTATTTCAATTTTTTAACGGGGAGGCAGGCTTTTGGCTCGTTCAGACCGGTGCACAGAGATGAGGAACAAGAAATACAGCAAACATTGACGGTGACGGGCGTCAGCGCACCCTTAAGAGGCATGGCCTCGGCTGCTGCTTGAGCAGGATTGATAAAGACATACCGACCTGCCTGAGAACCAGGGCAGGGCAGAAAAATGATATGACGAGAGGATGATAGCACCTGGCGCTGATGTTAGTAGAGATTGGTTTTCTTCATAATGCGAAGGAATTCGTCCTGATTAATTTCACCGTCGCCATCGCGGTCGGCCTCCTCGATCATCTCCTGCAGCTCCTCGTCTGAGAGAGACTCGCCCAGTTCCTGGGCAACGCGCTTGAGGTTGGTAAAACTAATCTTGCCCTGTGTGTGTAAGGAGGGGGGGGGGGGGGGGGGGGGAAGACGAAGCACAGAATGATGGGATGCAGGTCTCTCAAGCAAGTGGCGGGCGTCCAAAAAAAGTGACACAAACGGGAAATGACTTGATGCCTCTGTCAAGACAAAACAGGCGTACCGTGCCATCGTCATCAAACAGCTTGAAAGCCTTGATGATTTCCTCCTTGGTATCCTTTTCACTCTGTGCGAGAAACACGCACAAAGACACCAATGAATCCTCATTTTCTCGATGCCGCCGTTCATTGTCAGCGGAGGTGGGAGATGACTCACGTACCATCTTTTGAGTCATCATGATCAGAAACTCGTTGTAGTCGATGCTACCTGAGCCATCCTTGTCAACGTCCTGGATCATTTTTTTGATTTCCTCCTTCTTCGGCTCGAATCCTAGCGCCCGCATGGCCACCTACATGATTGCAACATACCAACCATCGACACAGGCAGTGCGCCGGCACGACCCGTGCATGAGCTTGATCCAATATTCACTGCAAGTGGGGGACAGCATGCGGATCTGGATGAGGCTGACCTTTAATTCTTTGGCATCGATGGTGCCCGAGCCATCGGTATCAAAGAGTTCAAAGGCTTCGCGGATCTCGAGCTTCTGCTCTTCAGTCAATTCCACTTGACCTGAGCACGGAGGTGGCGGGACTGGTGAGGGAAGACGAGAGCAAGATAAGCCGGCGGGACCGGTTTTCTTGGGATCCAGTTGAACATACTGCTTGCCCGTTTGGCGGGAGTTGCAGAGCGCCGCGCCGCCTACAACAAACAACGGGACAGAGCCCGACCAAAAGAAAGCAGATTCAATCAGCTCTGATGCCAAGTGCCCTCACGTCTAAGGCTTGACTAGCAGCTAGCCAGCCAAGGTCACCGCTGCTACGCACCATTATTCTGCTCTTGATGCTTCTGACTCCCGCCCCTTTCTGGTCCGAAACTACAAGCCCAGCATGAAGCAGGATAAGTATGCTGCTTCTCAAACAATAAGAAGAGGCTCCAAAGCAAATGCTGTTACTGCAGCCTCGACCACGACCGGGGCACCGGCAGCGGATACAGCGACTTCGAACCAGAAAATGGAGTCTGCACGTCACGGATCTCGCTCAAAATACAAAAATTCGTTTTATCACACACACACTTTCTCTCTCTCTCTCTCTCTCTGTGCTCTGTCGTTGGTTGTTAACGTTCAAGACAGGAGCAACGCTGTCAAATGGAGCTTCGTTGTCAGGCTGCGTGCTGACAATTTTTCCTGCTGTTGTTGTTTCCTGTTGGTTGCATCTTTGAGGTTCGCATGTGAATTTGGCGGAGCCCTTCTCGAGGCGGTCACGCGCGGGTGGCCACCAGAGCGGGGTGGAAGTGCCCTGTGTCGCGAGGTGCATTGCGAGGATTGCGTGGCTGACCGGCAAAGGATAACAGTCATGGCAGTTGATCCCTTGCAGCGACTGTGTTTACGACTTGCCGAAGATGACGAGGTGGTCGTGGGCTCAAGGGCCGATAAGACACAGCAGCGAGGGGCGCCCGACCCAGCCCTGGAAGCGCGCTACGAGTTTCTATTCAACTTGGCAGCTGACGAGCCTGGTATGCGCTGCAGGCAATGTGTGGCAGGCGAAGTGGCCAGCAAAGGGAGGGTGGGAGTGCCGTGCCCCTTGTTGTCTCTGCCCCTCTTTTTCACGCGTGTGGTCTGCCATGGCCTAGGTCGTTTCTTAACCCGATATGGCTCCACGCTGACGCAGCCCGAGCTGCAAGTTTTCAGCGTCATTGATGACTATGAGGTGTGCTTGTGAGCGATTTCTCAGCTCTCCGCCAGCCATTGATAATTGTCGGCTCGCATCATCGTTGCACTGACCTGGAATCAACTGGCTTAGGTGAGCTTCTTGGTGCGCAAGTACAAAGATCGACTAACCAATCAGCACAGCCTGGTCAAGAATCGGTGAGGTTTGCTTGGACGTGGCTTGCGCGCATGCCGGGAGGAGGTAGCCTGATCCTTTTGAAAACAGAGAAAGACTCACGTCTCCTGCCCCCTATGCTTTGTCACGTGCGTCTATCGTCGCTGATATCTGGATAGGCGATACATGGCCATGCAGAGACTTTTGGCTGAGGGCACGTACTTTAGCCTAGAGGAGATGCAGCGGCGCTGCCCTTGGCTTTATGATGCAATGGTGGGGCAATATGTGACGGATGAGCATCTGCAGGCGCGCATTGACGCACACAACCGCGGCACCTGGGCTGAGCAACTGCTATCCCAAGTTGAGCATAGCCAGACGAAGTACGTTTGCGTTGACACGGGCCATCAACACCCTGCACCCCGGCACCCCGCGCTCTACCTCGGATTTCGAGGTCTCGATGTTTGACATGTCCCTTGCACCCGCACCCGCCGCCCTCGGGTCCGGTCTACCGTGGAGGGCGTAGCCGCCTGCAGGCAGCTAGAGCGCGCCCTGCACTGCCCTCACAATTTCTCATCATGGCTTGAACTTAGTTTACGGCTGGAAGCTGAGGTCTACATGAGTGGGGGTGGCACTGGCGATGATGAGGCGAGCCGGCCGGAGGACGCTGATGGCGATCCGGGTGAGTTTGCGATGTTGCCCGATTCTGTTGGGGCCAGCGAGCGCGTCGAGCGCCCGCGACTAATCGCATGCGCATGGCACACTTACAGGGGCCATTGGCCCAATCGACTTTGAGGCGCGCGAAACGCGACGGCTGGCCATGCCCACTGAAGAGCGGGAACGATTAGAGGGCGAGTTTCGGAGCCTCATGGAGCAGCGCTTTTTGGCTGGTGAAGATGAAGAGTTTTTCAATTACCGCGAGATTGACACGGATGAGACGCTGGATGATCTCAAGACGCGAGAGCGGGATGAAGAAGAAGCCTGGTTTGATGCAGACTGATAATGCTTGCATGGGGCCGCTCTCGGCCACTTGAGCTGTGACTGGACGCTGCGCGTCAATCATTTGGTCGAGAGTTGTGAGCCTCAGGTCGACTGGACCACGGAGCCAGCGAAGCGTTTCTGCCCATTTGAATTTCCTGTTTTGCAATTCATCATCAAATCATGTTTTTTTGGTTGCACGTTAATTGTGAAACCCTGAACAAGGGATGCTTCCGGAGTCATGCCCCCTAACGAAACGACACCCGAGAGCCTGGTGCGCCATAGTGTCTGTCCCCCCCCCTCAAACCGGCCCAAAGGGAACGTCATCGTCCACACCCTGTCACTTTGGCAGCTGGCGGGTGATTCCTGTTCAGCCCATTCGACCCCTCCGCAGCTTAGAGGGGATGTCGTTGGCATCGACCCAAGACGCAGAGCGTTACCCACCAACATCGTCAACCAACGATTGTGGCATGCTGCTCCAAGCCGCAAGTCGCTTTGTGTGGCTGTCATGTTGTTTCTTCTGCACCACACACGTGGCCCTCAGGAGAAAGAACATCCTTCTGGCAGCGTGCCAAAAGGACGACCATTGTCAGACAAAGGACCAGTTACGACATCCAACGTCGTGCAGCAAAAAAGTGGCGTGCTGCCTAATTTCCCACAGAGTCCCCAAGCTCTTCCCAAGTACTTCCCAAGCCACACCCACACGCCCCTCCTAACTCGGTCTCCTGCCAACTTGAGTCTTTTATCTGACGTTCTGGTGGAAGCTAACAACCTGCTTTCGGGTGTTTTCTTGCCAGTTCATGTACATGTAGTAGTGTCGTAACTGTGTCGAACCACAACGTATAACGCACACAACGATACACAAGATGTGTGTGTGTGTGTGTGTTGTTGTGGATTGTGCGCACATGCCCAAAACCATCAAACACCTCAACTCGAATGGTTTTGCGTCATTTTCTTCCTGCTTGTGGCCTCTGACACGTCGACGTGCGTGGCAGCTGGAGACGTGGGCCGTAGCCGCCGTCAGCTCGCTGCATTCATTCCCCAAGAACGCTTCTTGTTCAACTGGGTCTTGAGGATCAGTCCAGCGTTGCGGTGCTGCTGGCTTGTCAACCAGCGCCATGACTGCCAAGGAAGTCAAAAACGCTGCTGGTAAGTGGATGTCTAAACCCATTTCATTTCGTTGCTTGCTCGAGTCTTGGCCATCTCGGTGCAACACACACACACATTGGTGTGCGCACACCATCTCCCCCCCCTCTCCCATGGATGGTTCTCCGATCCAACTCGCCAGGCACCCTTGCATGAAGCTATTACACATTGACTTTCTGGCTTGCACCACCTTGCATAGCTCCGTCCCCCCACTTGTTCACAAATGCACCGCCCCGTCTTTCATTTTTTTTTCTTTCGTTGCGATCTCGCGTGTGATCTCAATGCTTTTTGAACCCAATCGTGATGGCCAACGCAGGCGATGATGATGCCGCGCCCAAGAAGGAGGAGAACAAGGTTCCTTTCACGCAGCTCTTCCGCTATGCTGACTCTCTCGTAAGTTTTCCAGGCTTTTCCTACCTCGTTGGTGCTTGTCATTCCCCACTTCCCTCGCGCACTGCATGCATACTGATTGACCGCATGTGGTGCTTTCTCTCATCGTGGCCCGCAGGACTACTTCTTGCTCGTTGTGGGCGCCCTTTCGTCCCTTGCCCATGGTGCTTCTCACCCGTTCTTCATCGTTCTCTTCGGTACGCTTCCAAACTAAACATGCCTGCGGCCACCTTTACCGACCGACCTTTTTTTTGGGGGGGGGAAAAATCACTGCAGTGCTCCTCACTAACTGCTGCTGCTGCTGCTGCTGCTGTCGTTAGGTGACGTGATTGATGATTTCGGCCCGGACAGCGCAAGCTTTGTGGATGCCATTAACGACACGGTCATCAAGATGCTTTACGTGGCGGCCGTCGTCTTTGTCGTCTCGTACCTGCAAGTCGCCTGTTTCTCCTTTATTGCTCAGCGTCAAGCCCTTCGCATCCGTCGTCGCTTTTTCCGGGCTTTGCTCTCCCAGGACATGACCTGGTTTGATCAGCAAAACTCGGGCTCCCTCGCCGTCATCATCTCCCAAGACGTGCCCAAGATTCAAGAAGCCATGGGTGACAAGTTTGGTTCCTTCATTCAGTTTGAGGGCATGTTTCTCGGTGGCTTCATCGTTGGCTTTATCTACTCTTGGAAACTTGCCCTCGTGGTCTTCTCAATGGTGCCGCTTATTGGTGCCGGCGGTGCTGTGATGAGTAAGTACATTGGCGACGCTCAAGGCGGTGGCAACAAGTTTTACGGCCGCGCCGGTGCCATTGCCGACGAGGTCATTCGCATGATTCGCACCGTTATTGCCTTTGACACCCAAGACCACGAATGTGAACGCTACGAGAAGTCTCTTGAAGATGCCGAGCGCTCGGGCCGCACGGCCGGTCTTGCCCAGGGCGGCGGTATGGGCTTCACCTTTGGCGTCATCTTCTTGGCCTATGCACTCACCTTTTACTACGGTGGCCAGCTCATCAACGACGGTGAACTCTCTGCGGGTGATGTCATCACCTGTTTCTTCTCCGTCATCATTGGCGCCATGGCCCTGGGCCAGGCTGCCCCCAACATCGCCACTATGGCTGCCGGTCAGGCCGCCGCCTACAAGGTCTTTGATATCATTGAACGCCAGTCTGCCATTGACTCCCTTTCCGATGAAGGCATTGTGCCCACTACCCTCGAAGGTGCCATCGAGTTCAAGGACATTGAGTTTACCTACCCCACGCGACCCGAGGAGCAGATCTTGCGTGGTCTCAACCTCAGCATCAAGCCCCGCGAGACGATTGCTCTTGTCGGCTCGAGCGGCTGCGGCAAGTCGACGACCATGGCCCTCGTTGAACGCTTTTACGACCCCAGCAGCGGCTCCGTTTCCCTAGATGGCATCAACATCAAGGACATCAACGTCCAATGGCTTCGCTCCCAGATTGCCCTCGTTTCCCAGATGCCCGTGCTTTTCCCCACCAGCATCTTCGACAACATTGCTCTTGGCGGTGAAAACGTCACGGAGGAGCAGGTCATTGCTGCAGCCAAAATGGCCAACGCCCACGACTTTATTTCCCGCTTTCCCGATGGCTATGACACCATGGTGGGCGACTCGGGCGCTCAGATGAGCGGTGGCCAGCGCCAACGCATTGTGATTGCCCGTGCTCTTGTGAAGAACCCCAACATTCTGCTGCTCGATGAGGCCACCTCCGCCTTGGACAACGAGAGCGAGGGCAAGGTCAAAGAAGCCCTGGATCGCGCCTCCATGGACCGCACCACCATTGTCATTGCTCACCGTCTCTCGACTGTTTTCACCGCTGATCGCATCGCCGTCGTGCACCAAGGCAAGGTTGTCGAGATTGGTGACCCGCAGTCTCTGCTGGATAAGAAGGGGCGCTTTTACGATATGGTCTTTGATCAGTACGGCCAAGGCATGGAACGCGGTACTACCCTCACCCTCGACGCCCTTCAAGCTGCCATCCCCACTGATAACTCTTTCAAGGGTGCCGCTGGTGATGAAGATGATCTCCCAGTGCGCAAGACCTCCCGTGGTGAAATTGCCCTCGCCGCGGATCTCAAGGAGGACCCGGACAAGGACGATAAGGGGCCTGACGTGGACCGCAGCATGGTTGGTTGGGTCCTGCAGTTGAACCGCCCCGAGTGGAAGTACATTGCCATCGGTGCCTTTGGTGCCTTTATCGAGGGCGCTGTTTGGCCTGCCTATGCCATTTGTCTCTCAGAAGTCATCACGGCCATGCAAAACTCGGATCTTGGCACCATCAACGACTACGCGGCTGGCTTTGTGGGTATTGCTGTTGCCGTCATGGTGTGCGTCTTTTTGAAGTTCTACATGCTTACGCGCTCAGGCGAAGCACTCACCCGCCGTCTCCGTTCCAAGACCTTCCGTGCCATTGTCTCCAACGAGGCCTGGTGGTACGACATGCCTGAGAATGCGCGTGGTATTCTGACTGCGCGCCTGTCCTCCGATGCCTCGGCCGTGCGTGGCGTTCTTGGTGATCGTGTGGGTTTGGCAATGCAAATCTTTGCCACCGTGGTTGGCTGTCTCATCGTTTCTATGATCTATTGCTGGCGCGTCGGTACGTTTGTGTTTGCGTGTGCGCCTGCGCCATGACTGCTTCTGTGGTTGTCTTGTCTTCTCGGGCCTGTCTGCTTGTCTCGAGTCTGCTCACCCGTTGTTAACGCCGATGCTGGTGTCGCGTGCGCGTGTGCGTTTACAGCTCTTGTGGTGCTGGCTGCCTCGCCCATCATCGGCGTCGGTGGTGCCCTGCAATTCAAGCTCATGTCCGGCTTTGCCGACACCAAGGCCTATGAGCGCAGCGGCAAGTTTGCCTCCCAGGCCATCGAGCATGTTCGCGACGTCGCCGCTCTGGGTCGCCTGAATGCCTTTGTGGAAGACTACTTTCGAACTCTGGCTGGACCGACCAAGGCCACCAAGCGCCAGGCACAGGTGCAAGGCCTCACCTTTGGCTTTACTGAGGCCTCCATCTTTGCCGTCTGGGCTCTGACCTTCTGGTGGGGCGCGCAAGTCACCAATGGCAACCACTGCACCTTTAACGAGATGTTCAAGAGCCAGTTTGCCATTCTCTTTATGGGCATCATTGTTGGTCAAGCCTCGTCTCTCGCGCCCGACTTTGGCAAGGCCATGGTGGGTGCCAAGCGCCTTTACACGCTCCTCAAGGATCATGAGGAGCGTCACCCAAAAGAGGAGGCTCGCCCTAGCGCTAAGATTACCGGCCAGATTGAGTTCAAGGACATCAAGTTCAACTACCCCACCCGTCCGGACGCCCGAGTTCTCGATGGCTTTTCCTTGTCTGTCATTCCCGGGCAGACCGTGGCTTTGGTAGGCCCCTCTGGCTGCGGCAAGTCTACAGTAATCGCCTTGACTGAGCAGTTTTACCGCCCCGACAGCGGTACCATCACCCTTGACGGCAAGAACATTCAGGACATTGATCCCAAGTGTGTGCGTGAGCACTTTGCCCTGGTTGCACAGCAGCCCGAGCTCTTTGCTCTGACCATCGCCGAGAACATTGCTTATGGTCTTGATCACACCCCCTCTCAAGAGTATGTTCGATTTCCGTGTTTGCTCTTTTTCAACGCCTCTTTGATTATTGTTTGGTGATATCTTTCCCATTTAGCCCCTCCCATGTTTTACCGTCATCTTGCAAGCACGCCCTGATGCTGTTGGTGGTTCTCCGTGGTCTTGTCTTTGCGCAGGGATATTGAGAGGGCTGCCAAAGCTGCCAATGCCCATGATTTTATTACTGATTTTGAGGACGGCTACAACACCATGGTGGGCGACAAGGGTGCCCAGCTCTCTGGTGGCCAGGTACGGGCTCTGTACTCTTGTGACATCTCATTCCACTGTGGACCGTTTGGGCATGACTTTGACTCACCAGATGTGTGTACGCGTGTCGTCGTCCTACTTGCAGCGCCAACGCATTGCCATTGCTCGTGCTTTGATCCGACAAGATAACATCAAAATCTTGCTCTTGGATGAGGCTAGTGCCGCCCTCGACACCCACAGCGAGCAGCTTGTGCACGAAGCCCTCGAAGGCGCTCGCAAGGGTCGTACTACACTCGTGGTTGCTCATCGGTGCGTATCCCGGTGACTCGTTGGAGGCTTTGTGGCTGTGGTCGCTTGTACCCCACATATGTTTGCGCGCTTGATCTCACTTCTGGTCGCCTTCTTCTGGTGCCTTCTTGGCCGTGCTCGCACACAACAGCCTTAGCACCATTCAGAACGCAGATCTGATTGCCGTTTTGAACCAGGGCAAGGTGGCTGAACTGGTACGCCGACCGCAGGGCTTGACCATGCTTCCTGCCACCTACTCCTCAATCGCAGTTTGAATCTTGTGGCCCTCTCTCAACGTTTTTGCCTCCCCTCGGCAGGGCTCGCACGAGGAGTTGATGAAGCAGGGTGGTCTCTATGCCGAGCTCGTCAATTCTCAACAGTTTGTGTCCACTGACGAGAACGAAAACGGTGGCAACTCGAATCCTCCAGGTATGCTGCTCTGCTGCACCTCGACTCAAGGTCGAACACCCACGTTCTGAGGGCACTACCCATGCATGCATTGCCCTCATACTCTTGCGCGCGCGTGTGGTTTTGCAGCCTACACTGAAGTGACGGATGATTTGACGGTGGTGGATTTGAGCTCTCAAGTCCCGGGCGAGGTGGAGCGCCGTGGCAGGTGAGCTGACTGACCTGGGGGAGCTGCTGCAGGCAGAGCCGTTGAGAGCTATTGAGAGCTGGCAGCATGTGCAGGGCAGCAACGGTGGCCAATCGGCTGACTGGCCTTGAGACATTGACGCGATCGGCGTGGTGCCGGTTTCAAATGTGTCTGTCTGTCTCCGTGTGTGTTGTGTGCGTCTCCAACCCAATCAAACATCTTTTCTCATGTCGGCATTCGTATGTTTTTTTTCTGCTTCTTGCGTCTTTCGCTTCCTGCAGCAAGGAGTCTGTTGTCTAAAGAACCACACTGACCTTTAGAGACCCACCTAAAGGCCCAACTTTACAGGCTATGTTGTATGAGTTTGAATGAACGATTTCGCTTCGTTCTTTTTTTCTTTTCGGTTCTTGTTTTCTCTTTTTTTGCGTTTCTCGTGCTGAACATACTTGATTGCTTGTTGTTGCTGCTCGGACCGGCTTTTATATCTCTGAGCGACCGAGTTGATGAAATATCTCACTCTCTCTGATTCGTCTTTCTGTGCGCGCTGCGCGCTTCACACTCCACAAGCATACTAATAATACCATTGTTATCGTTAGTGGTTAGTGGGTGACCAACGGTTGATTTTGTCAAAAGGGGAAGGGCAGCCATTTAACGACAATGCAGCCATGCGACCGGCGCTGTTTGAATCAATTGCTTGATCTATCTATGCCAGGCTTTATGGCAAGGCCTTGGCCTTGTCAAACGTTGTATTTAACCATCAACTCTTGCTGGAGAATGTGCAGGCAGTAAGTAGCACCAAGTGAGTAAGCATATCGTCAAAGCAGCAACACGACCAGCACCCGAAACGCACCCGCAGCTCTGGAAAGTGAGCAAAGAAGCGCTCCCACTCCCCACCGGCCGCTGTCTTGAAGTGGGCCAAAAGCTGCCAAACACCCATTCATGATGAAAGCAAAGGGAATGGAATGAGACGACCATGAGACGAGGGACTCGCAGTCTGGGCCGATGGCTTGGCTTACCCGCGCAAAGAGCTCGGCCAGCTTGGGGGAGGGTTGTTGAAACTTGCTGATTGCGTCGCACAACAGCATAAAGCGCTAATGGTTACCATTAATCAAGATGAGATGACCACGACAGGACCATACAACAGGCACACGCCAATCAGCCACAGCTACAAAGCCATTGCCCTGTTGGGGGTGCGCGCTCCTCACCGGTAAAGCACCGTGGGCATTGGCTAACACTGCAAGGCAAATGCCCTCGAAGGAAGAGTCCTTCTCGTCATTGTCATCCACTAAGCGCAAGGCTCGACACCTGGTTGCAATCAAGGGGAACCAACACGTTGGAACAACCCACATTCAGCTGCGGCTGCGATATTTATAGCAAAGCGAAGGAGGCAAGACCGCTGTATCGTACCAGCGCTCGAGCAGGTTGGGCAAGTGTTGTGCAACCTTCAAGGTGCAGCCCAAGCCAAGGCGACCAATAGTAATGGCTGCCAATCAGACAAAAACATGATGGCGTGAGGATTGCGATGGCAGAGCCTGGCATCAAACATGTTGCATCTCGCTCAGTGTGGAGTTGGGAACAAAGGGAACAAAGCAATGATACTTACCAGCGTTCTCAGTCAACGTATTCAGCTCGCTTGTGTTGAGAATGTGGATGATGGGCTCAAGAAGATCATCCACATACTTGTTCATATTTTCACCTGAAAAAAATACCCAGGCATCAATACACTAGCACCAGATTGACGTTGCAAGAGCTTGAATGCAGGAAACGTACCGAGATGCAAGGCAATTTCACCCGTGGCCCAAATGGCGTTATTGCACACGGGCGGTTCTTCCATCGTTAAGTTGACTGAAATGAAAAGCATGACCGTGTCTGCATCACAACGCCATACCACCGCAGGCAAAAGTGAGCGCACCCAAATACCAAGTCGCGATCCCCTCAAGCAAATGTGAATGTGTTCCAACATACCAAGGTGAGGCAGCACGACGCCGAACAACGCCTTGGAAAGGTCGCCAAGCACAGCGAACGCGCTTTGTCGCATCTCGGCCAGCTCATCCTAATTTTAGGATACAGGTCACGTTCAGCATCAAACTTTTTTTTTTTTTTTTTTTTTTTTTTTTTTTTTTTTTTTTTTTTTTTTTTTTTTTTAAAAAAAAGGAGGCGAACCACTTTCAGGCTCAGCAGAGGCAAACTGACCTGCAAGCCATACAGCAACAGCTCCATCAAGTCTGCACTGATAAATGGCTCCATGTCACCTTGCAGGCTCTCCACCATGGCTGAGCGCACCCCAAGGTCAGATTGTGAAAAATAAAAAGTTTTTCACCAGATATGAAGGCGTGTGCCCGACAAGTGCAAGAGATCAGTATCTTCGACTGGCACCAGGTTGGTACATACAGGAGATGAGATCGAGGGCACCAACGATCATGTCATCATCGGGATCCTCCGTGTCTTGCCCTTCCTGATGTGCCTGTTCGACCCAGAGGCCCGGGCCGTCGCAGCGGGATGAGGACATCCGTATGAGAAAGGTCATGGCGCAGACATTCGCCACACACGGCTACCACTTGACTCGCATCGCAAGAAAAGTGAGAAGATAGAGTCTGATCACGTACGACGCTACGAGCAATGTTGACCCGAAGGACATTGACAGCCATAGCATATGTCATCTCAGCATAGGGTAAATACTCCGTCTCAACGGCACCAAGAATGACTGAGAGGCATTCGGTGATGTGAAAGGCATCGAGGCAGTGGTCATCCATGGCCTGCCACTGGTTTAGCAGGCGTGGAACCAGCTCGTTGACATAGCGCTGCAAGCCACAAGATTTACTGATGAGTTAAACCACAGGACCTGCGTCCCACACTTCCAGAATGGCAAAGCACCGTACATACCGCCTCTGCAAGCGCCCCGCCCACGGCATCAGCCATCGTGCTGATGCAGTCATAGAGGTGCAGGCGATTTCGACGCTACAATGGAAGCGCAGGAGCAAGTAAGGTCAAGGAAGGAAGAAGGAGCGGGCACCAACATGAGCGACACGAGCAAAAGGTGCTCGAGACACAAACCTTGAAGTGATCGAGGGCGTAGCAGTACGTGCGCAGCAGGTTCTCAGTAAAGGGCTCCAATCGGTTGCTGGCAATTTCTTGAATGTGGCACAATGCCGTGCAGGCGGTCTCTTGGACCTTCTTGTTACGGTCAACCAGCCGGGCAGTCAGGGCACCCAGAGTGGCCTCGAGCATGGCAGGTGTTTTGCAGATGTATTCGGCATAACGCCGAAAGCACCAGCAGGTGATGCTGCGAACCAAGTGCTGCATTTGTTTTTCCACCATCAGGTGGCAACCGTAACATGAGGAGACCAAGAAGCTGTGTTCATTTGGTGCTATGTGCACTCACATGGCAGGCAAACAGACATGCGTTGAAGCTCTTACTTGTTCGTGTTCGAAGAAGCCAGCAATGAAGGGCAAAATTTCTGGCAAGTAAGTTTCCATCTCGTCTTTGCAGCCTGCGCAATCGGAGCGCCCCAATAGAGACGAGATGACAAGGAGATGAGTCAGTGAATGCAAACCCTCAACTAAGCCAAACCATGGCAGCCAAACTATGGCGCACCGTCAGCAATGGCACCAAGCGCAAGCATGCAAGCTTCCTGTGCAAGCCAGACATTCGATTCGAACATCTGCTTGAGGAGCGGCATTAAAACGGGCAGCAAGCCTGTGTGATACTTGACGGCGAAGGAATCGAGAGTCATTGCGGCACATTTGCCTATCGACCAGCCACAACACGCAAAGATATGAGCACGCACGTTTCTTGAGACGGACGAATCATGCTGGCAGCTCCAAAAACATTAGGCAAATCAATCGATCACACTTACGAATGCTCCACTCGTCAGCACCATCCTCATCGTCATAGTCGTCATCATCATCTTCGTCATCCTCATCCTCGTCGCCGCCCTCGCCGTCGTGGCCCACAGCGCCCTCTTGCCCATCGCCATCATCACGGCGGGTGCGCCGCTCACCATGCACCGCAGCCTTGTGAGTAGCTGGGCGGACGTCCTAAACGGCCGATCCAACAGGGCGTGGCGCAGAAGTGAGTAAAACAAGATGAGTTTTTGGCTGCTTGGTTCTTTGGAATTCTCAATCCCATTGCAATATTTCCGTCAGCATGAGCATCCTGCATGTATGTTTTCACACACACACACACACACACACACACACACACACACACACACACACACACACACACACACACACACACACACACACACACACACACACACACACACACACACACACACAAAGCACAATTTACCAACCTCATCCCGATCCTCTTCATCAGCATCGTCATCAGCCTGCGGGCGCAAAACAAAGGCAATGGAATAGAGGGACGCAAGTGGCTTGCGTGAGCAGCAGCGCTCGCATAGGGGAATTGATGGGCAGGATCGAGATGGTGTTGCTTTGCAAACGCATAAAGGTACATACACTCATGGTGGCGAGCTCGAATTCACTCCACTGCATACGGTCCAAAAGCAATGGCAAGAGCTGGGGCATGATGGGGTCAAGCACCTGAGAGCTGAATGGTTTGTCAGCCATCACCATCCAAAACTCGCAAGCCTCGAGGGCTACGCCCTCGTCCTCACTGCGCGTGCAATCCAGCATATACTGTTCGTAACAAGCCATGCAGAAGATGGTGGAAGATTCGTCAATGCCAGCTTTATCGCGCAGCGCAGTGGCAAAGGATACCACGGCGAGATCATCACCGGCATTATCACCATCAAGCCGCAATAAAAGGCGCGCCATATGTACCTGCGTGATATTTCCCAACTCTGGTTCAAGAAAGGGAACAGCTTGCTCAAACTTGGATTCAACGATGCTGACCATGGCCTGCAAGGGAAGCGCCACGAGTCGAGAATCGGATTCTGAATATCTAACAAGCTCATGGGCGTTTGGGCCGACCAAGAACAAGGCACCAGTGCAAAGAGCTGGCCAAAGCGCCTGGATAGAACGAACCGTGCACACGTGCATGCGAACGACGGGGTTTGTATCGGGTGCAAGCGCAAAAACGCCCTGTCATCACAACACGGCAAGCCGACGACCAATGGCGCGTGTGAGGTATTGATCGCAAGGCAGTAGACCATGCGTGCGCAAGCACGCACATGAACACACACACACACACACACACACACACACACACACACACACACACACACACACACACACACACACACACACACACACACACACACACACACACACACACACCACACACACACCACACACACACACACCTGAAGGTAGCTCTGAAAATTGGCATTAAAGCCAGGTGTTTCAAAGGATACAAACACGTTGCTGCACTGCAATGCCTTGGAACTGTGTGTACCACCGCACGAGGGGTGGAGTGAGGTGCGCGAAAGAGTCCGGGACGAGTGATCAATGCTGTATTGTGCCTGCATGAGGCAGGGCGCACCGAATGGAAGGGTCTTCATGGCGAAAAAGCAGCACAACTGTCTTCATAATGAGGTCCACGAGTCGACCAGCTTCATATTCGCAGAGCCATGGTGCGTCGTCCTCACAGATGAACGTCAAAGCCGTCAGCGTACCCTGCACGCGGCATTCGCACACCAAGATCAAAAACAAGTGCTGACCAAGCTTTGCATGCACCGCATTATTCCCCAGTGTCCACTCCAGACTGAATTGGAGTACAGCACAGCGTTCAGCCGGCATGCAGCCGTGAGCAGCGAGCAGCCAGAAACTGCTGTGCTTTCGAAGCTCACCTCAAGCCCGTTCGGATCGCTGTTCTGCATGAGGTGGAGAAGGGTGGGAATGGCTTCGGGCCAATGCTTAAGACCAAGCCGGACCACAAGGGTACTGACGAGCGTGGCGGCCACCTTACGGACCAGCTGACTCGGGTCAGCTAGTGCGCGGACGGCCTCATTTTTGAGATATTGCACAATGGGAAACGAGAGTTTGTCAATGTTCCATCGGACATTGTTCTTGAGAAGGATGGCGGCCATCGAACGTGTATTGGGCCCTACATGAAAGGGGTCAGCATCGACAAGACTGGACAACTCAAGCAATGGGGATGGCAAAGGGCACTGGAGTGATTCGGGGCGGGCTGCGAACCAACGCACCGACGGACACTTCATTGACCAGAATGTGGCAGAGATAAATGTTCACTTCTGGGCGCTCATTGAGCTGCTTGAGCATCTGTGTATGAAACAACACCGTGGCAGACTTGCTCGTCATGCTTCGAAGGTATCGAGGACCAAGGATGACCAGGCAGACTGGGAAGGCTTAAAGACCAAAGGTACGCTGACCTCTTGGGATGCTGCCATCTCCTGGCTGTTGGTACTCTGGCATTGAACGAGCACCTGCAGCACTTGCTGCACAAACCCCTGATCCGGTACAAAGCCCTGGTCGGCCATGATGGCGGCGACGACAGTGCCAATAAGATCGGAGCACTAGCTTGTCTGGAAAAAAGGGCAAGCAGGGTCGTGAGGCTGGAGACGGCTGTCATGTTCTCGATATCTCGGCAAGCACTCACCGAAAACACAAGGAGGGGTAAGGCGGGGGGACACTCGAGCCGCCCGGCGTGGTGTTGAACTAAGGCTCTGCGGTCAGGTAGAGCTTTGCGCGCGGTCGCAGCAATACACAGGCAAACCCGAGCTTCACTGCCCAATTCGGGGAGAAGCAACGACAAGTGGGTCTGAGATTGTCAGCTCGTGGCAGCCAACATGACCTCGGGTGCTGTGCGTACAACCCAGCGAGGCACGATGAATGTGCAGCAGAAGCACAAGTGAAAGAGCGCACAAGCGAGTGTGTGACAAGCAGCGGGGAGAGGAAGGAGATGCGTGAGTGGTGGGGCTAGCAGCAGCAGATAACGCAGCGGTTGTCATGACGCTGACCCTGTGACGGTTGCGGCCTCGCCCTCTTTGCTCTCTGCCCGCCTTTCCCCTTTTCCCTGAGACAGCAAACCAATGACCCCTCACACACCCACACACACTCACACACCCTATGCGCATGAAACAGGAAGCAAATCAACCGACCAGAATATCGTGATGGCCGTCCGGTCACTGCTGAAGACAGGGTCGAATCCGCCGTGCCTGGCTCTGCTCAAACGTTCAGAGCCCGTTTGTGTGAAATTAGGAACCACAAGACAACCTCTCTCTCTAGCTTATTTTCTTCCTCATCCCTCATTCTCTCTCCTAAAAAACATGTGAAAACAACAACAAAATACAACAACGAGATGCAACTCCCCCTCACAGGTGTCGGAACGGGTCTGCACCAGCCACAATGTCATTTGGTCACCGGCCAACTTGCTACCACACGTCATCATCGTTGGCTGGTTTTGTCGACAAATCCAGTGGCTAAGCTTTGGCTTGAAAGCGGGCAAGGAAAACGCGTATCGTTCAAGGTGGAAAAACCAGTGGCTTTCAATACAGGTTGACCAGAAACAGGCAGCTAAGGAAAACCAGACACAGAATCACCGTTCGGCAGCGCCAATAGCTGCGCGCCAGTACCGGACCAGATTAGCCCCCGCACCTCGATTCCGGGGCGACTCGGTTTTGTACAAAAGGGCATATTCGCGCCATACATGGTCGCGAGCTTCCACGGCCCTTTTCTTTGGATAGCACACCACAACTTGATACCTGTTTCCTTTTTTTTTTTTTTCCTTACTCTTCTTTTTTCCTTCATTCACTTTCTGCTTGGCCGTGTGTGTGGTGCGTTCTGTCGACGTGTACGAGACGGGTCTGGTCCTTGCCTTGCACCTCAGACTGGGTGTTCCGGGGAGGGGAGGGTTGAATGAAATCCTGACACGCTGCAGTTGGTCTTGATCCCAGGCAACCCGATACGCTGCGTCATTTCTCACTGGCGCTTGGGCCTTTGGATAGACGCTTGCCGGCTGCCAGAAGTTTGTTAGACATTCCTGGCGCACTTGCGCCAACAGCCGTCCCCTGGCCTCGCCCCCATCTATATCCCTTGCGCTGTCAGGGTCCAAACACTGAATCAACGCGGCTGCTGTGCGGCGTTTTCCACCGCTGCCATGCTGACCAAATTTGAATCCAAGTCGGCGCGCGTCAAGGGTACGTGATCTAGCTTTCTTCTTGACCGGGGATGAGAGTGGCCAGAGCGCGACCCAGTTGGAGTATCCCACTCGGCATCAAGGCACCGCTCTTGCATGGTCTTGTCGGTGACCACTCTTGTCTATTGGTCTGCCTTTCATCGCTAAAATACCGCGCTGCTCGGTGCTCTGCATGATGGTCTGCAGGCGTCGCGTTTCATCCCAAACGCCCCTGGGTGCTGGCCAGCTTGCACAATGGTGTGGTTCAGTTGTACGACTACCGCATGGGCACGCTCATTGACAAGTTTGATGAGCACGATGGCCCCGTGCGCGGTATCGACTTCCATCCCTCGCAACCCCTCTTTGTTTCCGGCGGTGATGACTACAAGATCAAGGTCAGCCTTGTTCCCTTTTCGTGTGACCTTGCGCACTGGTTTGCCATTCAACTCACTCACAATGCCTTGATCACCCATTGATTTCCCTGTTCTGTGCGAATGCGACTTTTCAATGCCGACTCTCATTTTTTTTAATTCTTCCTTCAAATATCGCTGCTTGTTGGGTGGATTACAGCTGTGGAACTACAAGACACGCCGTTGCCTCTTCACTCTGCTCGGCCATCTCGACTATATTCGCACGACTTTCTTCCACAAGGAGAATCCATGGATCATCTCCGCCTCGGATGATCAGACCATCCGCATCTGGAACTGGCAGGGCCGCTCCTGCATTTGCGTGCTGACGGGTCACAACCACTACGTCATGTGCGCCAACTTCCACCCCACCGATGATTTGGTCGTCTCTGCTTCGCTGGATCAAAATGTGCGTGTTTGGGACATTTCCGGGCTTCGCAAGAAGAACATGGCCCCTGGTGGACTGGCGCTTGGTCCTGGCCGCGATAAAGATGGCGATCTCTTTGGCTCGGCAGATGCCACCGTCAAGCATGTTCTTGAGGGCCATGACCGCGGCGTCAACTGGGCTGCCTTCCACCCGACCATGCCCCTGATCGTGTCAGCTGCTGATGATCGCACAGTCAAGCTTTGGCGCATGAATGACTCCAAGGCTTGGGAAGTGGATACCTGCCGTGGCCACTTCAACAACGTGTCGTGCGCCATCTTCCACCCACGCCAAGAGGTCATCCTCAGTAACGCGGAAGACCGCTCGATTCGCGTGTGGGATATGCAGCGTCGTGCCGCCGTACAAACCTTCCGCCGTGAACACGACCGCTTCTGGGTGATTGCGGCGCATCCGGAGCTCAACCTCTTTGCTGCTGGTCACGATAGCGGCCTCGTTGTTTTCAAGCTTGAGCGCGAGCGCCCCGCATACGCGATCCACGGCAACAAACTGCTGTACGTCAAGGATCGCCAGATTCGCACTTACGAGTTTGGCAGCTCTAAAGACGTTCCAGCCATGACGATTCGTAAGCATGGTACCGGCGCGCCCCAGAACGGCATCCATACCATGTCCTTCAACCCAGCCGAGAACGCCGTCCTGGTCACCGCCCAGACGGATGGTGGCGTTTACGAGCTCTACAACCTGCCCAAGGATGGCTCGGGCGAAGACACAAGCAGTGAAGGCAAACGTGGCGCCGGTATGTTGTATAGCTAGCGAGAATGCCCTGTGCTCTCTGATACGGTTGAACCCCTACTCCGTCCCAACTTTGGTGACTCATCTGACTGCACTTTTTTATGCTTTTGCCTGTTCCTGTAAACCCGTGTTTGCGTCCTCTCCATTTTTTTTTTTTTTTTTTTTTTTTTTGTTTTCCCCTCGTGCAGGCAAGTATGCCACCTGGGTGGCGCGCAACCGTTTTGCGGTGCTCGACAAGTACAACACGGTCCTCATCAAGAGCTTGAGCAACGAGACAACCAAGAAAATCACCCCACCCTCCGCAACAGAAGCCCTCTTCTACGCCGGTACTGGCAACCTCCTGCTCGGTGCAGCCGACTCGGTGACGCTCTTTGATGTGCAGCAACGCCGCGCCTTGGCTACTCTGACGGTGGCCAAAGTGAAGTACGCCATCTGGAACAAGGACAACACCCGTGTGGCGCTTCTGGGCAAACACATGATCACCATCTGCGACCGCAAGCTCAAGCAATTGGCCAGCATTCATGAGACCATTCGCGTCAAGAGTGCTGCCTGGGACGAGAGTGGCGTTCTCATTTACACGACCCTCAACCACATCAAATATGCCCTCCCCAACGGTGACAGCGGTATCATTCGCACCCTTGATTCCCCCATCTACATCACCAAGGTCAAGGGCAGCAACGTTTACTGCCTGGACCGCGACGTCAAGACGGCCGTGCTGGCCATCGACCCCACCGAATATCAGTTTAAGCTGGCTCTTGTGTCGCGTCAGTACGATCAGGTCCTCTATATGGTGCGCAACGCCAAGTTGCCGGGCCAATCAATCATCGCCTACCTGCAACAAAAAGGCTACCCCGAGGTGGCCCTGCACTTTGTCAAGGACCAACGCACGCGCTTTGGCCTGGCCCTTGAGTGTGGTAACATCCCGGTGGCCTTGGAGGCAGCCAAGGAGCTTGACGATCCGGCCTGCTGGAATCAGCTTGCTGAAGTGGCCCTGGTGCATGGTGAGCACCTTGTGGTCGAGCTGGCTTACCAGCGCACCAAGAATTTTGAGAAGCTCTCTTTCTTGTACCTCATCACTGGCAACCTGGGCAAGCTGCGCAAGCTCATGACCATTGCTGGAGACCGTGGAGACATTAGCGGGCAATTTCAGAGCGCCCTCTTCCTCGGCGATGTGGAAACACGCATCAACATCCTGCAGTACGTCCTCTTGTCTCGCCGTTTCGAATAAAATTCCTGTCGCCTTGCCACGACTTCCATTGCGCTTGCGCGCTCTCTGTCTGCAGCATGCTCTTAGCATTGACCGCCATGCCAACCTCGCACGTTTTTGCTTTGCTCCTTCTGCTCGCATAGGAAAACCAACCAAGGGCCCCTGGCCTACCTGACCGCCGCGACGCATGGCCTGGCCGAGCAAGCCGACGCCATCGCCGCTCAACTCGGCATGGAGGCTGATCAGCTGCCCCCTACCAACCCGGACAGCTGTCTACTTGTACCTCCGGAACCTGTCTCCTCGGAGCAGGGCAACTGGCCCCTGCTGAACATGAGCAAGGGTTTCTTCGACAACCAAAACTCGGGTGCGACCGGCTCTTTTGCTGCGGGTGATGTTGACGACATGCCGGAGGGCGATGCCTGGGGCGAGGATGACCTTGACTTGGACGAGGATGGCGAGGTGATCGCGGCCGAGGCGGCAGACGGCGAGGATGCTGACGCTGGTGCTGGTTGGGGTGAGGACGATGACGACCTTGATCTCGATCTCGACATTGAGCTTGAGGCCGAAACCAGTGCCGGCGATGCCGATACGGGCTACTTTGTGGCACCCACCGCGGGCTCATCGCTGGCGCAGGCCTGGGTCAGTACCAGCAGCGTGATTGCCGACCACGTGGCGGCTGGTGCCTTTGATACGGCGATGCAGGTAAGCTTCTTTCCTCTTGTCGCAGCGATACTGTTCTGTAGCTTTGCTTGATCCACGTGTTTTCTCCATTGGCGCACTTGAGCTGGCTTGGGTTCTACTTTCGAGACAGTGTCTGTTGTATTGTCTGCCTGGCCCTGGCCTCGAATTCTTGACTCGTGCGCAACCGCTGACACGCTGTGCATTGCCATGCAGATTATGCAAAAGCAGCTGGGCATCGTGGTGTTTGCGCCTTTTGAAAAGGCTTTCTTGACCGCGTACGCCCGCGCGCGCGTGGCGGTCCCCGGCACGGCCTCGACGGCACCTTTGCTTCTCCACTCGTTGCGCAACTGGAAGGATGCCACCCCACGCAGTGCGTAGAGCGTGCTGTTGCTGTTGCTGTTGCTGTACTTCCAAGGCATCGTGTTGCTGTTGCATTTTGCCGTTCTCACCTTCTCGCCATCCCTACCCGTGCATCTTGCAGATGCTCTGCCTGCCGTGGGTGTCAAGCTTTCGGCGCTCGCTGAACAACTCCAGGTATGAGTGTGTCCAGTTTTCAAACTTTCCTGTGGCCTGGGCAGGCCTTTTGCCGTAATCCTTCATCGTTTGTGTGTTTCATCTTCATTTTCTGCTTAGGCGGGCTACGCTGCCACGACCAAGGGCAAGTTTGAGGCGGCCATTGATATCATGCGAGATATTCTCCTGAGCATTCCATTGCTTGTGCTGAACACGAAGAGCGAGCAGAGTGAAGCTGAACAGGTTGGTTGCTGCCGCAGCCTTCACCAGGCATCGCGCCATGCCCATGTGTTTAGTGATCCAATTCCTGACGTGTTTTCGTATTTGTTTGTAGCTGGTCGACATTTGTCGCGAATACATCTTGGGCCTTTCCATGGAGTTGGCCCGCCGTGATATTGCAAAGGATCCTTCGCAAGCAGCACGGGCAGCAGAGCTGGCGGCCTACTTTTCGCACTGCAACCTGCAGACAGTGCATTTGATCTTGACGCTCAACACAGCCCAGACCCTGTTCTTCAAGCTGAAAAACTTTAAAACATGCTCGTCGTTTGCTCGCCGCCTGCTTGAGCTAGGCCCCAAGCCTGAGCTTGCCACCAAGGTTCGTCACTCGTGCCCTTGAACGGTGGCCAATGCTGACCTCAACCCGGGCATTGCATTGTTTTTGTTTTTTCCTTGTTGTGGGATGCACTTTGAGGGGCCTTGTCCCTGGGTGCGCGCGCCCTATCGCCTTGCCTTGGTCTTACCGTCCTACCTGGCTTTTTGCCTCGGTTTTTATTTGTTTTTCTCGCGTACAGTCCAAGAAAATTCTGCAGGCCTGCGATAAATCGCCCACGGACGCCGTGGACTTGGACTACGACCAGCACAACCCCTTCAATGTGTGCGGCAAGACCTATAAGCCCATCTACAAGGGCTCTCCCATGGTCAAATGCGCCTATTGCTCGGCCGCGTATGTGCCCAGCTTAGAAGGCCAAGTTTGCACGGTGTGCCGGGTTGGCAAGATTGGTGGCACGAGCATCGGTGGCCTTGCCGCCCTCCGCTTTGGCTAAGCTTTTATTCCTGGCGAAAGCGGGTGTCATGACCTATTGCTTCTGGTTCGTGTGCTCTTACAATCATTTGGTGCTGTGAGGTCTTTCCATCGTACAATTTTTCTTCGCGGGCTGCAGATGTTCGACCTTGTCTCGATGTAGTGTGTGTGTGGTTGTGCGCGTGGCATGCTGAGGCATTATTTTGTGCTCCTTACCCCTGCGGCATCGCGCACCATGCGTCTGTCATTTGCTCAAAGAATCGAAAAGGATGTAAGCACATTTCCTCTTCCTCATCTTCCTCTCTCCTTAAACCTGTTGAGGAAATCTGACATTTCATCCTCGTGGTCTCCTTTTTGTTAACCATCATTTCGCCAACACACCGCGCGTAAACGCCTGACTCTCGTCGCGTCAAACAGCTCGCTCAACGAAAAGCGTCACTCGGCCGCCGGGTGCGTACGCCTTGCCCTAGTGCGGGGTCAACCGCCAACATGGGTCGTCTGCGTCATAAGCGTATGCACAAAAACATTCGCGACAATCACAAAAAGTACATCAAGTCCAAGCGCAAGACCAAAGACGTGGACCAGGTGTGCCCATCAACTCGTGGCGTTGCTGATGATGCTCGGGTTGAACCCGATCGAGTCCAGGAACTCATGACTCGTTTGACTCTGCAAACGATTGCTGATAGATTCATGAGGATTTCAAGCCAGAGGTGCTGGAGAAGCTGATGCAACCCGAGGTGGATGGCGACCTACCCGGCTTGGGCCAGTTTTACTGTGTGCATTGCGCGTACGTTCCTTCGCTGGGCCACACGTTTAATATCATCGTGTGCCCGCTGCCTTGCCTTGTGTTCTCGCCTTTGCTTCTTTCTTCTCTTTCCCTGCCTCTCTCTTTTTGCACCTTGCTCCACATCCACCCGGCACAACGCCAGTATGTCATCGCCAATACTCACATTATCATTTGCATGCGTGTCTTTTTTCCAGGCGCTATTTTGTAAACCAGCTGTCCCTTGCTGGACATTTCAAGAGCAAGGTGCATAAGCGAAGGTGAGATGCCGAATGGAAGTGGCGCGGCAGAATCAGGATCATCAGCGTTAGCTCACGCATCGGCCCGTCGCCTGTGCTCTTGATATCAATATCATAGGGTAAAGCAGCTCTCGGAAACGCCCTACTCTCAAGCCGAGGCCGATGCTGCAGCGGGCCTTGGCACCTACAAGCCACCTCAACGCGTCGAGGTGCCCAATGTTGCCGTGGGTCTTGATACTCAAGTCGAGGCCTCATCGTCGTAATTAGATCGTGCTGAGACTGCGTGTGTTTTGATTGAGACTCCCCGGTGCCCATGATCACCGTCAGCCCAAAGCAGTGCATGTGACTTGCCAAGGGTTGTCCGTCTGGGTTGATGTGTCTTGTTCTGATGATCCGGTCGGATGGCATGCTGTGCTTCTTTGATCTGCCACATGCGAGTGTGTTTGTTTGTTGTGTGCCACACACCTTGCTGGGTTTGAGCGTAAGGGGTGGTGTATTTGTAGAAGTGGACAATTGAAAGCCTTGCAACAACATGATGATGATACCATCTCTTCGGCTTGGTCATTGGGCGCTATATCCTAGAGCTGATGTCCTGCTTTGAATTGACAGTCCAACACAAATTGAGCACGCTTTGCGGCGAACGTCAAGAATCAAAAGGATACAAATGCGCGCGCATGGCGTGCTGAGCCGTTAAGCTACGCTCCAGATGGCACAGTTGGCGTTGACTGCTTGTTATGCAAAAGTACCCTGGTATGTTCACAAAAGCAGAGGGCTTGAGTCGTGATCCAGGCCCCTTTTCAATCCCCATAACAGTGCATACAGGCACACAATCCAAAGCCTTCCCATCTACGAAGACTTTGCGAGCAAGTGTTCATGGAGCAACCTCCAAGTACTATCCGCTGGATGAGTGTGTCTAAGAGCACTGGACCACAAACTACTCTAATACATTGGCTATGGTACGTACCGGATCATCCTCGTAAGCAGGATTGCTCTCGATGCGGTCCATGTCAGTGTACATGGGCTCGGGTTCCTCATAACCTGGGTTGAAGACGCCATTACGCATACTCTGTGGATCAGCATACTCTGGACCAGCCTGATCATGGGCTCCATGCTGATTCTATGGGTGCAAGTGATCAGCCAATTAAACAGATTGGCAGTAGGAAACATGTCATATGAGTGAACAGAACAACCATGAGAAGGTATCGTCACTCCACTACCCACTGAAATTTACCGGATCGAAATAATTGGGCGCTGTGGATGCGCCACCATCCCCAGGTTCAGCATAGAGGCCACCGTTGTGCTGTCGCAAAAAAAGATTGCAGAGGCAACCGTTAGATGCCAATTCTGAGTCTACGACTGATCCGATCAAGGGTAGCTAGTGCGCGGGGCCATCCAGACTCACCGGGTCAAAGTATCGAGGTTGGGCGGCACCCTCGCCCGGGGTTGAGTATAGCGCATTTGACTGCAACGACTAACGTTCATCGGGCACCGGATTAGCAAAAACCACCAGAAGAGGGATGATGGGTGGGGAGCCTGTGCGCGAGTGAGTTTGAGGGTGCAAGTCGCATGCTTTGTAGCCAACACACCTGTGGACCATTCAAATTTTGGCCATAGAGCGCATTGGCTTCAAGGGTGCTCTGACAAAGGTAGTGGGAGAGAGAGAGAGAGAGAGAGAGAGAGAGAGAGAGAGAGAGAGAGAGAGAGAGAGAGAGAGAGAGAGAGAGAGAGAGAGAGAGAGAGAGAGAGAGAGAGAGGGTGAGAAACATCACGCGGCGTCTCAATCGAGGAACGATTGACTCACCTGCTGGTTACTCAAGTTCTGCCCGTAGAGTGCATTGGCCTCCAGTTCTGCCCCATCTTTCAGGTTACTCTATCAGGAGAGCGGAAAAGAAATATAAGTTGGAGGAAATGCTGTCCGAGGCGGGATATGAACCAAAGCTGAGCCTGACTCGTAGCCTTGCCACCAAGGAGGGCGTGAAAGAACACAACAAAAGATGGGAACTTCCGTGTGACTGGCACTTACGCCATACAGAGGGTTATTCTGCATGAAGCCCGAATTGTAATCATGGCGAGATGAAGGATTGCGGGTGCGTTGGCGAAAGTAGACGATGAGGATAATGACAATGATGAGCAGAGCTGCTATAATGCAACCAAGAATCAGACCCAGGTAGGAGCCACCGCCACCGCCACTGGTTGAGCTCTCCGTTCGGCCAGCGGGCGTCGTCGAGCCGGTCTGATGAGGAGTGGTGGTCGCAGACGTGGGGCTCGTGCCGCCGCTTGCTGCACTTCCTCCAGAAGTGCTCTGTGAGGGATTTGATGAGGGTGATGCAGGGGGAATGGATGTAGAGGCCGAGGCCTGAGTCGAGGCCGAAGTCGAGGCCTGAGTCGAGGCCGGAGTCGAGGCCGGGGTCGAGGCCGGGGTCGAGGCCGGGGTCGAGGCCGGGGTCGAGGCCGGGGTCGAGGCCGGGGTCGAGGCCGGGGTCGAGGCCGGGGTCGAGGCCGGGGTCGAGGCCGGGGTCGAGGCCTGGGTAGTCGTTGTGCAGCGCTGCGCTACCTCACATGGTTGCTCAACTGCGGAAAAGATCAAACTTCCAGACTCGGTCAGTACGAGCGCACCCTCACTCGAGAGTTCGAGGGAACGCACTGTAACGGGCTCTTCGACGTATACGTCATGGCTCTGATCCAACTCGACGTGCGCGAGTCCACACGGAACAAGATGGTCAGCATCAAGTATGGATATGTCCTCTGATAATTCATTCCAAATGCATGCATCACTCCAAAGGTTGTTCTCATCCACGCTCAGCGAGTCGGCGAGGCCAAACACGTCTATGCCGATTGAGAGGAGCGAGAACACGTTGAGTTGTTGGACGCTCATGCACACACAACACGCGCACATGATACGCAAACACACACATCATGGCCTGGGTCACAAGCCAAGCATCCATACCAGCAAAAGCAGTGGTCGAGCTGATTGCATCGTCCGCACTCTCGTCCAATGCAACCAGCGTGATGTTGACCGTGACATGCCAGGCTTCTGGCTCAAGATCGACCACCCAAGCGGTGACATCAGGTGGAAAGCTACCCGTGGCAACTTTGTGACCATCGTGCATGACGCTGCCATGCTGAACGCTGAAGTTACCCGTGGGAACCCATTCAATGAGGATCTTGCCGAGGTTTAAGAAGGTAACGGACACGCCTTGAGCAAAACGCGGACAGGCCAAATCACTGGCGACCAGATTGATTGCTCCCGAAGAAGTTAGCTCGAGGACGGCACCCGGACGCAGTTCAAACCCTTTGATGACCAGCTGTACGAAGGATGTAGAAGAGGTAACCAAAGTTGAAGGAGCGCATGACAACCCAGCACAAGGGGAGGGGTGGTAGCACCGTACACAGAATGAGCCAAGATGGGCGAGGTCACAGAGCAAGAGAAGAAAACGAGTATGATTGGACGATGCGATGAATGGGGTGGCAAGTCATGACGAGCTGACCTCGTTATCAAGACTAGCAGTGTAGGTGAAGGTGGAAGAAGCAAAGACGAGATCACTATCTGGGCACAAGCTGGCGGTGTGCCCGTCGGGGGTGGTAATGTTGCCGTTTGCGATTGTGCTGTTGCCTGGGACAAAGATCAGATCATCGATATCTGCAGATCGCGCATGACCAGC